TTTTTTTTTTTTTTTTAAATGAGCAAGTTGGGAGCATCCTATTTGAATGCATATTCAAAATACATATTTGAACGTAACAAGTGCATTTATGTCACACACAAAATCTTCGTCCAGAGGGAAATAAATAGCACACAATACTTCAAAAATTTTGCTATCTTGCCCCTGAGGTGCTAATGTTTTTAGCATTAAAAAAAAAAAGTTTAACTGGTGCAAAAAGGAAATGCACAAAGGTGCAAAAGTGCCTTTTTAATTTTTCTTTTTGCTGCTTAGTGAAAAGTACAGCTAGTCCCTTGCTAGAATATTTTATGCACTTAATTCATGTACTTCATAATTCTACTCCGTACCTAAAATGGCAGTGTTTATGCGCACATAATTGATTCAGTGCTCTCACCAGATTAAAGCGCTAAAACGTAAGGCAGAAAAAGAAGGGATGGCAAAAAACATTCCTCCTTTACCTCCAAATCTAGTTACAGCACTGGTAGCAATAGCAGAATTGTTCTTTATATTCTTTAGAAAGGGCCTCATAAGAAAAGGCTTTAAATATACAGTATGTCACTGACACATTTTAAGTGATTATTGTTTGAAATATGGCTTTCCACCACAATTCTGCAATTTTTAAAGGTTTTATATCTCGAAGTTTCCACAGTCCAGTTCAAGGTTTTGCACTTTCCAGAACTAAACTTTAGTCTATGTAGAAAAGTAATGAACAGAACTTTATCTGCCTAGTCTAGTCCTAGAATAAGTTTAGCTTCCTGTACTAGTATACTGTGCAGTATTAAATACATATGTTCATTAGGTGCCTGCGAAGCTATGACATTATTATAGTTTTGCACTCTACAACAAAATTAGACATTTTAAGCATTTATTTGTAGGTAGGTAAGGAATTGGTTCTTTAAGCAAAATTGCTATAAATTTATAAATACAAATAGTGCTTATGTTCTCTTCATTCATGCTTGAACAGGTTACAAATTGAATACAATGAAGTAACATTTAAGCACCACACATAAACAAAAAAGGGATAAAAGAAAAAAAAATGCTGGTATATACTATACTTAATTCTGAGACACTATAAGTTACTTTTTCACTGTTCAGTGATCCCTAACTCTGCATTAGTTTTAAGGCTATATATACAAATATGTATATTTCAAAGTTAGGGAGAAGACAAATTATAGTAAAACGCAACGTACTACATTTTCCTATCAAAAAGTAATTATACACCAAAGTTTTCTTTCTTTTTTTTTTTTTTTTTTTTTTTTT